TTTTTTAATGTTATGGCAAAGATTAAAAATTGTTTTGGTCATTAATACTTACTTTTACTTTTTTCTTTTTTTAATAAAAAATTTAACAAGTACCCTAGGCACAAATCAATTCTTTAAAATCTTTTTTTTTTTCATTAATTTTCAACTTCATTTGAATACGTTTAATTTAAATATACTTTTTATATTTTATTAGATGTTATTTTTTATTTTTTTCAACACTTTTTTGACTGCCAGGGACTTGCCCGATTAGAAAGGTTGAATCAACCGGTTTACCGGTTAGGCCAGTTGAAGCGCTTCTGAGCCCATGTCCGGTTAACTGTTCTGTTCGATTTTGCGAACACTGGTTTGGATGTTGGAAAAATATGTATCTGATCATCTCGACATCAAAATGTGTAAATATGGAGAAAACAAAAAGAGATTTCAAGTCCTAAAAATATTACATCTTACAACATATTATCTAGACCTTCCATTTTCAAGATTGTCATGTATTTATAGATTGCTTGATTTGAACTAGTTTTGGAGTTTAAAATCTTATAATTAGAGATATAAGTAGATTCTCCGACCATCCTAAGAATTTCGACACCAAAATTACATCTCAAGTTCGAAGGTGTTACAATTTTATGCAAATCACACTCTTTGAAAAGACCTAGATACACAAACCCTGGATATGTCTCAAAACCTAGTTGTGCATATTCTAGTATATGTAAAACCTGATTTTGAAAACAATAGCATTTGGGTCGCTACTAGAAGAACCCAATATATGAAACATGTCTTGTTTGGCTCCACTAAGTTGAAAACGAGGTTTTGGTTATTTATTGTTAACCTAGTTTAGCTGTTCATTTAATAAATTGATGATTCTATTATAATATATGGCCAATATGAAAGATTTTTTGGGAAAAAGTTATCGACAATATGACGAACAGGTTCCAATAAAATTACCTCTCTCTCCACAACCCATACGTTATTCCCAAAATACCTCTCTCTTTCCACGACCCGTACGTTATTCCCAAATTACATCATATCCATAACATATTTCATTAGAGAGTTAAGAAGTTAAATATAAAAGTACCATGAAGTCCAAAAGTAGACTTCGTATAGGTTCTTTTTTAGCTTTATGATCATAAATAAAATCAATTTATTGCATAGGCTATGATATTCTAGGTCCTCTGCAGAAACTTGATCCATGAAGTGCATAGGAGGTAAAACAATCCCAAATTTCTTCACATACCGTTGCTATATTGATGGCAGGGTAAGAGTTGTACGCCTTGGGATTATTTCTTAGAAAAACTAAAAAAAACTGGCGAAAGAGAGAAAAAAAAAAAGAAAAAAAAAAAAGAAAAAGAAAGAAAGAAAGAAAGAAGAAGAAGCAATGATTTGCAATAAAAAAAATGATTAACAGGGAACATAATTTCAAGCTCTTAACTGTCCATATAGAAACCAATTTTCAAAGAAAAATTGCCAAAAAAACAATCAGAAAAATATCAAAGAAGCAATTTTGCTTACCAATCTAAAAGCCACACAAATGAGACCTTGTTGATGGCAGGTTTTGTCTTCAAAGAAACACAGTGACAATGGAGTGGGATTCAAAACAGAATGTTTGAAGCCATGCGATTTCTGGTGGTGGCTTAGGAGTTTGCTAGCAAGTGAGCAAGATCTGCGAATGGGTGGAGGAAGCTACTGCAATGGCTTGGGTAAAAGAAATTGAGGTGGAGAGAAGATGAGATTAGAAACGGGTGGTATGACTGTCGAGGAAATTTCAACTTTTTTTGGAATGAGCATTATGCTCATTTTCAGGGGTTTTGAGTATTGCCAAAAACAGGTTTTGGTGGGTACAAATGGATCCAAACAGTCGAACTCATGTCAAAACCTAGAAATACAAAATCGGGTTTTGCATATTATAGGTCCCAAACAGTGGACGGCTTCGAATATTGTATGGGATAAATAAATCTTTATTCAAAGGGATTGTATGCAATGTCACCGCTTACATTTGATATAGAGAGGTCACAATTATTTACAACCATCCAATATGAACTTTCTAATAGCTTAGATGTATCACAAAGTTCGATAACATTTCTTTTGAACTTTTAACTTGACCAATGAAATAAATTCAGACACCCCAATTTTTCAAAAGGGGCAACTTTCTAAATATATAACTTTTTTTCAAAAGGGGCAACTTTCTAAATATATAAATTTAAAGGATCACATACAATGAGATCATTTATGTTTGATACAAGGTGATCACAATTACATAAAACCATTTCATGTGATAACTTGGGTATATCACAAAGTTTGAAATTTTTTCTTTTGAAATTTGAGCTTGATCAATGAGATAAATTCAGCCTTTTACTTTTACATCTAATAGTCAAGATTAATTGTGACCACCTTATACCAGAGATAAATGGTCCCATTGTATACTTTTCTTAAATTTAAATTGTATGAGAAGGCACATGGGAAAAAGTTAAGAGTTGAGCTTTAAAATAGTGATTCCTCTCCAAGTATGTAGATGGACCTTTTATAAGAAAAAATAATGATACAATATTTGTTCTCCTTTTGCCCTAGCATTTCTATTTTCTTTGTTCCTCCATCATTATATTATCTTGAGCTAATACTTTGCAGATAATTTTCATATAACAAAGAGGGAGAAAGGAGAGGGATATTAGACAGAGAGAAAAAACAGTCTGATCTTGAAAATAGAATCCCAAAACTCGCCTAATGTCAAGTATATGATCCAGCCCAGTACTGCTGATAGGCGCTTCTTGGTCCGATTTTAAATCTTTAACTCTGTACGAAACCATCACCTCTACTTAATCGCAATATGTATTCTAAGGATTGTCCATAACAAAACCATTTATTTCTTATGCATACTCATTCATTAAATGTCGCTTGGGGTTAGTTACGAAGTCTGAAATTTTCTTTTTAAAACTTAATGTCTAATAAAAAATACTCTTACAACCGTCTATTTTGAAATTTAAGAAACAAAAATCAATGTGACTTCTTTGTAAAAAAAGATAGATGGTCTCCGTATAAATAATCCCTTTATTCTCAATGGTAATTGAAACTGAGCACAGGAACCTTCCCCTGCTGACTTACCAAAAATAAATAAATGAACCATCGAATAATGCACTTGGCAATAGTTTACATCTACGCAGGATGTAAACGCATGCTACAGTATAGCATATTATTGCCTTCCAAATATCTAAAATTAACTTATTCCGACTTCCCAAACACAAAAAATGAATAGGGGTGGTAATGAGCCAGACCAGCCAGGCCCTAGTCCATATAGGGACTGGCCAAATACAATAAAAGCACACAATATGTTAAGAAAAGCTCAAGCTGGGCCGGCACTAACGTGGAGCTAGCCCAAGCTTAGCCTAGCCCGGCCCTATCCTCGAGCCGTAGTGGCCCAGCTCTCACGCTACATTTTATAGCCCAAGCCCTAATTTTTGGGGTCCAGCCATTTGGGCTGGCCCAACCAACCCAATGTTAACCATAAAAATGCAGTAGGTAGTTGGTATCGCGCAATAGATAAATAAGAATATCCAACAGAAAGGAATATCCATACAAGTGTGTTTCCAAAGGTCAAAAGAAAAAAAGAAGAAGATGCGGTTAGCATGCATGCCAAGCCCACACATGTAGAAATGCATACCTCTTGATAAATCTATTTTTGAGATGGATTTTTGGACTTAATTTTTAAGGACATGTAATCTCTAAGATGAAGATCATGAATATGAATAAATAAATAAATTTCCAAAACTAAAAATAAAAGTTCTATTGAGAAATTATATGGACCATTAGTTTCAATTGTTTTTAGATTGACCACCTATTTGCATCCCTCTTTAAGATGCCTTGTACTTGTGGACGCTATATGTAGAAATGCGGTCCAGCTCGCATGAAACAATTTTGCAAAAAAGAGAAGCTCATATTTTCAGTTTGGCTCCTTAGCACTTACATAAGAGCCAGAGTGAAACCTTCCTTATTCCCCTCCTTTTTTCTGGGTTTAGAAACAAGCACCAATTTCAAAAGGACACTTTCATACCAAACAATATCGCAGCAATACTATGTGCACGAGGACCAACAAGTTTAGTTTGTAAAATAGGTAACATCACCTGAGTTCAGCCTCCCCATCTAGATCAAATTACCATATAGCCGAGACCAAGAAACAAATAATGAGAACAAAGCACCTCCTTCAGACATGGTTACGATGATGGGATCGATCCTCAAGTCTAAGGTCCATGAGCCATAGCCTGGTTTGAAGGAGGGCTCATTACCAACATCGATTGGCAATAGAAACCAGGATGAGGCAGCCTTCGTCGAAGCTCACGACCTTCCTGACAGAGAGCAAAGTTGTGGCAAAAGAAATGACTTGCACGGTCACATCGGGCATCCCATCTATCAAGGTGCTCCTCATCCTCAATGCAAGTGCAGCATCCAGATCTGATCAAAGCACTGCAGCTCCCCTGTTCTCTTCCCCTCACAAACTTCAGCCAACAGAAATAAAAACTAGAACACTACCCTCCTATCAGAACAAAATGAAAAGCAAGGTCCATTGACTCCATTCTGGTATGGGATATACATTACTAGAATGTTGAATGAGGTGATAACCAACAAATGAAATGGAGAACATGAAAATATTAGATAGATGATGATTAGGACGCGAAATGGTGTCCTACAAAACCAAGTAACTTAGGCAAGATTCCAACCCAACAGCCGGAATAGAGAGCGAAATTTATAATTAATTCCTAGATGCAGATCTTGTTAGAAAGTTGCATAGTTAAATTATTTCCAGGAATATAGAAGGTTTTTTAGATTCAAAAAAGAATCTAAACAACTGATCTCCTGTTTCTTATTACATTGCGTCGCAGAAAACTGATTGATATGCAATTTGAACAATCAAAAAGGTTGCCAATGTGAATAAATAGAAAACATGAGAGGGCAACACAATTTGAACAATAAAAAAGGTTGCCAATGTTAATAATAGAAAACATGAGAGGGCAACAAATTAACAAATATCCAAAGAAAAAATAACAGGATTTGTGAATGGTTAAATTGAAAAGTGATCCTGAATGAACGATTTCCTAGAAAGGAGTCTCGTGCAAGTCATATAATATAGGGGATCATTATACTTCATGTTTTGAATACTAGAAACACCTGGGACTCACTTATCGGTATTGGGAAAGCCAACTGTGGAAGATGTTTTCCAATAGAAATCACCTAATGCACTGAAAAATGGGGTTTTGAAATTTCGGTACCTAGAATGCTGCCCAGGTAGAAGGCGCTATATTTCTCAACAATATTTAGTACTTGGATTATTTCTTGTCTCTTGATCTTAAAAAGATAATACTGATAACAGATACAATATGCCTCGTTTACCCTGAACTAATAATATAAGAATAATATTAAATCACCTAAAGCACCGACTATATGGTTTTGGTTTCAGGACGGAGAATCCTGCCCAGGTACAATATCTCTATATTTCTTTTGCTATTTTTTGTCCCTTGTCCTTAAAATAATACTGGTAACACATAAAATATGTATTACTTTACCCTGACCTAATATAAGAATAATATTTTCCCAATGGCACCTACAAGCACTCCTTTTTGCTAGTCTCAATTGTGACTGCCAATTCCACCTATCTTAAATGGAAATAGATGATAAATACTGACAATTTAAAGTAAATTTATTTTGCTATTATATAATACATTAATCTTTAGCAGCTTTTCAGCATCAACAAATCAATCCAGATTCCACAAAACAGTGCAACATAAGAATAATTATACGTAAGCTGTCATTCTAGCTACCCATCAGCCACATACAAATAGTAGAGTATCCAGATTTCTTTCAGGTAACCTTTTGTGTAGATTATCTGCCAGAGGTAGATGCATCCTTCATCTTTGTAAATATAGTAACGATGAAATACAGAAAATTTCCCATTTCTAATATAATATTCAATTTGTAAACAACCCATTACAAACTAAGACTGCTAAAAACAAATAATTTAAATAGTTTCTCGACACGCCAGTAACTATGTGCACCGAAACAACTCACTAGTACTCTTCTAGTGCAGAAAACACAAATGTGGTCCAACCAGAAAAAGCTTTTCCAAGACAGAATCTTTTTTTTTATGTTTTTATCCCTCATTCCAAATATAGCCCCATGTCGCAACTCAATAAAGATGAACCCTTTTTTTAACCTTTTCAGAGGGATCTCATTGGAAAGAAGGACAAAATGCCTACCCGAGTGGTTATGGCACATGTACGTTCCAACTAATGAGTATCTACTTTCCCCACAGGTGCCCGGGAGGGTTAAGGACGCCTAGGTGGCTACCTAGGACCTCAAGCGCCTAGAAGTTTGAGACACATAAATGTGCTGTCCAAACACACATATATGCACATACGAGTGTTGAAAATGTCTATTCATGCATTTATATGTATTCTGACTAACTCTTTTATCATAAGGAAAAAGTGTATATAAGGTTGCCACCTTAAAATGTAGAATTACATATGCACCTCAAAAATTCATCAGAAAAGGTTGTTTTAATGTTGAAAAACCTTCTAATTGATCATCTCGACAACGAGATGTATGTATATGAAAAAAAAAGATCGAGTCCCAAAAATAGTGCATCTTGCAATACATTATTTTGACCATGCATTTTCAAAATTTTCATATGGTTATAGATCTACATGATTTTAACCATTTTTGGAGTTTAAAATTTTATAATTAGATATGAAAATAGATTTTGAGATAATCCTAGGAATTTTATACCAAAATTACATGTTATGACAAAATTTGGAGGTGTGCCTTAATTGGATTGTTTAAGGTTGCAACCTTATAGAAACCACACCCTTTATATAAATGCATGTGAGTGGATGTAGAAACACGTTTAAATCACTGAAATTTTGTTTCTTTGAATAAAAAATGGAACCTTTAGATCCAAGGGTATCCAAAATCATGTTTTGCATGCCTAGTGTATTTTGGATAAAAACATGTTTGGTAACTTTTTTGGACCCATAATCATATTTTTTGAAAGTAAGAAAGAGGGTCAAAACATGGTACACAAAGTCAAAGAAAAAGTTGGCATATTAAAAACCTAACTTTGTGTAAGCATGAGAGAGAGAATACAATATAGTACAACTGATGATAATACAATAATATTATTAATAGGAAACGTACACAAAGAGAATAACAAATATTAATCTTATTATAATATAATGATATTAGAAATACAAAATTACTATAAAAATAGAATTGTATAAGGCCGAGGCCCTAAACAATCAAGTGGGGCACACCTTCAAATAGTGTCGACATATGTTGTTTCAGTATCAAAAATCCGTATGATGCCATGAAAATTTATTTTCATCTCTAATTATAAAATTTAATGTTAAAAAATAGTGTAAATAGAGCAGATCTATAAACAATTGAAAATTGACGGTCTATATAATATGCTACAAGATGCACTATTTCCAAGACTTGAGGTCGACATGATCGAATTGAGGCGTTTTCAGTATCAAAACAACCTTTTCTAAAGAATTTTTGAGGTGCACCTTAATTTGATTGTTTAGGGCCGCACCCTTATATAAACTTTTACCTGTTAATAATGAATGTCATAATATAATAACATGTATAATAGTATTACATTAATATATAATAATAATTTATTATTATTATTATTATTGATACTGAAACAGCATATTTTGGCACTATTTGAAGGTGCGCACCACTTTGGTAATAATGATAGTAATTATTATTATTATCACACAACGGAGCCACGCACTTTATCAAATACAATTAATTCCACCAAAATACCCCCACAAATTAAAGAGAGAAACCATCTCAAATTTTAAGTTTTAGCGAGAGAGCATCTGAAAATCTTAGAGAGAGATACTACATCAAATTTTAGAGAGAAAAACTAACTGAAAACTTTTAGAGAGATAAACTATCTCAAATTTCAAATTTAGAGAGAAGGATCTTAAAATTTTAGAGAGTGAAACTATATCTAATTTTAGAGAGAGGAAATACCCATAAATTTTTAGAGAAAGAAACTATCTCACCTTTTTAGAGAGAAAAGCCATATCAAATTTTAAGTTTTAAAGAGAGTATCTTAAAATTTTAGATAGAGAAACTATATTAAATTTTAGAGATAAAAAATAAATGACAGTTTTAGAGAGAGAAATTATCTCAAAAATTTGAGAGAATCTCAAATTTTAAGTTTAGAGAGAGAAAGTATCTTAAAATTTTTAGAGAGAGAAATTATATAAAATTTTAGAAAGAGAAACTACCTGAAAATTTTGAGAGACTATCTTAAAATTTTTAGAGACAAAATACCTCAAATTTTAAGTTTTAGAGAGAGAATATTAAATTTTTAGAGAGAGAAGCTATATCATATTTTAGAGAGAAGCTAACTAATAAATTTTAGAGAGAGAAACTATCTAAAATTTTAAGTTTTAGAGAGAATCTTAAAATTTTAGAGAGAGAGGACAGAAACTGCCTGAAATTTTTAGAGAAAGGAACTTTCTCAAAAAATTTACAGAGAAAGCAGCCCAAAGTTTTTAGAGAGAGAAGCTATCTCATTTTGAATTTTTGGGGAGAGAAACTGTCTCAATTTTAGAGAGAAATACTATATCAAATTTAAAATTTCAGAGAGACAATTTCAAGTTTGATGTGTTTTCTCTCTCTCGTTCTGCCTGTTTCCAACTGTGTTTACCAAACATGGGAAAAAGCATGCTTGAGTAATTTTTTCCTGTAAACTGTTTGCATATTTTAAATGTTTTTCTAATAAATATTTTCTTGTCGAACTTTCCAAACAACCCCCAATAGCAAACTAGGTTATACAAGAAGATGATCCCAACATGAGATTTGCATAACCTGGGTACCCATTCAAAGCCATTCAAACATTCTTGTTTCATTAACCATGTTTTAAAATAACCAAGGTTTGGCATAATAAGGTTTTAATTCAAAACCTGGGTTTGTTAGATCATGGAGCCAAACGAGCCATAAAACAGTGCAAAGAAAAACATAAGTACATAGTATATTAGTGATTTAGTGTCCATACATGATACTCTATAGCCCATACTGCATACAGCCATAGACTCCAAGTCTCCAACGAGACCAAATGACCAATACAAGATGACGTTGTACAAAAGATGCTATACAAATTAAAAAAAAGAGGAGATCCTTAATGCCTTGGATGTCTTAACTTCAATGTGCAGCTGTCTAACAGGCTCATAACCACCCCAAATGTCTTCTAAGAACATTATTTGAACCCTATATTAATTGCAATAAGAGATATGGTAAGGTTTCGGATGTTTCCACAAAATTCTCAAAAAAATCGCAAAAATCAGGAGCTAACAGACACACATCACAGAGCAAAAACTTGCCTACCGCACCAATATGAAACATGGAACTCAAAATGAGTCCCTATATTCCTATACTAATTTCCCTCCTCTGAGATATACAAAGTTCACAAGTTTCCCTCAAAATCCAGGCACACAACCACACAAATGCAACAAAAAATTCCAACTAGGAAGAATATCCATGAAGTATTCATTCTAAAATCAGATAATAACTAGCCAATAAAGCTACAAAAAAAAAAAAAGGATTTACCTCCAAGTTGAATTGCCTACGAATATTTGTACGGCTAGGATGGGTTATACATGGTGCCAGACAATTGGAACCGCAAATTGAATAGCCCAGAAGACAAATCAATGCATAACTCGTACAGCTACCCAGGTATCCACCAGACCTCATCCTCTCAACATTGCTTGCGTAGAGCATACAAGGAGCAAATGCTCCAAGAAGACCTGAACATAATTTTGTGCGGGTCAGTTTCATAGTGTTGAGACATTCATTATACACCATCATGCTAGTCAATTAGTACTGCTGTTTACATATACTATGAAACAACATCTTCAGGTTACAAGGTCGAATCACACATTACAAAACAATGCATATACAATGTCCACAGAAATGTAATTATCAACCAAACTAACCACCATCCAAGTCACATGTAACCAAAAGGAGAAATCCTGCAAGAAGGGAGCTAATCCTCACTCACAGATCAATTGGCTGGGGATGTCAAGATAAAGGAAAGATAGAAAGATAAGTGAATATAATCATGTCTATCTCATCATTTGACTGAAAGCATGCAAAAACACATGCATAATATACCAGCTCTAATCCCTATACTTGCTTACATTTTCTTCAAGTTAATTAGGTAAGCCGAAAGAAAGAATCCTTTGAGATTACCTAATATACTTTTTCTTTTTTGTAATCAAAGGTTCAGTCAGATAGTGCAATGTATAAATGATGACAACAAAAGCATAATATACCATCTCTAGTCCCTATAATTGTGGAATGCGTTTTCCTCAAGGTAATTAGGTAAGCCGAAAGAAAGAAATCCTTTGAGATAACCTAATATATTTTTTCTTTTTTGTAACCAATGGTTCATTCAGATAGTGCAAGACATAAATGATGAAGCAAAAATAGACTTATTTTTAATTTTTGTTTACTTTCAAAGGATATATATTTTCATTTTAATTTTAGGGTTTTTAAATTTTTTTAAGGATTCTAGGGTTTTATTATATTTTTAAGATTTTAGGAGTTCTTTAGAAAAGTTGTTAGAATGCTTATGGAATTATTTGTTTTATCGAGGGCAAAACTGATATTACAATTTTGTCCTACGTTGGGACTATTTAGTCAATCTCATTTTTGGATAGCAGGAGTATTGACTTTTATAATAAAATATGGAATAAAAAGAGATGCATCGAGCTCTATTTTGCTCCTTAGGGTTTTGGGAAAGAAACCTGGTTCCTTTTAATAAATGCTTGTGCTTTGCTTGGAATTTGCAAAGAAAATATGCCCGCGTGCATGCACACACATTCACAAAATGCTTACAAAACAATATATGTCCCCCACCCCAACCCCCTACCCTTAGGGCCGTCCAGGTACCATGGCTGCCTCTGCCGTTTTTAAAATTGTTAACTACAAATTGTGGTCTTGGATTCAAAAAGTAATTGATAAATGTCGAGAAAGCCTCTAAAGGCCAGAAAATTGAGTTCGAAGTTTCCTACATGATTTTCAATGCGGGTTCAGGGTTAGCCACATTCGATAAATTATCAATTCCTCAATATACATATCAAATCTGTTTCTTGAGGATTCTTCTTACCGCATATAATCTTTGAGCCAACAAAGAAGAAGAAGATTGAAGAAGTTGGTTTTGATGCTCAATTCATCTTCGCATACTTCAAAACTCAAGAACGGGTTTGCTCCAAGCAGGGTGTCCTATAGGACAAAATTATTCTTATTTTTAATGTTTTGTATTTTCAAAGGATGTATATCTTAATTTTAACTTTAGAGCTTATTTTTAGGGTTTTTAAGTTGTTCAGGGATTCTTGTTTTTTTTTAGGATTTTAGGAGTTGTCTGGAAAAGTAGCTAAGAATATTTTGTTTTATTAGTCAAAATTAGCTAAGAATATTTTGTTTTGTTAGGATTATTTAGTAATTCTTATTTTTGATAGGGGCATTATATAGAATAAAAATAGATGTGTGGGGCTCTATGGGGCCATTTACGTGACTTTGAAAAGAGGAAAAAGTAAACAAAAGCTTTTGCTCCCTAGATAGGGTTTTGGGAAGGAAACCTTGGTTCCCTTAAATTGGCGCCTGTGCTTTATTTGGATTGCTTAATTTTATGTTTTATTCATCAAATCTCTACATCAATGTTTTTTTTTTTTTGAGAAAGGTTCTACATCAATAAATATCGTGCACCTTAAGTTGTGGAAAGACAAAAGACAAATTAAAAAAAAACGAAAGAAAAAAGAAGAAAGGAGAGAAATACAACGTTAGGGGAAAAAAAGGAAAATTAAAAAGAGAAAAAGAAATTCAACACCAACTCAAAGAGTGTGAATCTGAAAATGAAAAACTGCATCCCAAAACTCCACTAGAAAACTGGTTGGCTTTCTAGTCAAAGAGGCCCATCATTATAGGAGAGCTGGGGACTCGGGAGACTGGAGTCTTGCTTGATCCTAACAGCCAACCACCAATGAGGTCCATTTACCCTGATATCCCATCTAATAACATTAATGGAGCCTCCTGCAACAACGGCCCCAGAAAACAATGGTGAAAAATGTGAGGCCTATGAATAATGTGGAAACTTTCGCCTTATGAGGGTGGTCCATATCGCAACCATAGAAAAACTTTTCCAGCCACACAAATAAAAACCCAGTAGAATTGCCACCTGAGAGGGCAAGCAATGCCTAAAATCCTATCACCATGTGCTCTAAGAGGAGCAAAGTTTTAGGTGGAACCTGCTTGAGAGGCAGTTTGGAGAAGCCCTTTGCCAATTGAGGAATCTTGTCCGCTCCACCCCCTCAGTCTTTTATTTACTTTTTATTCATTTTCTTTAGTTCTGTCATTTGGAATGCATCACAACTGCAACTCTATCTCCTACCACTTGACACACACAAGCAAACACGAGCACCATGCATGTGAACACAACACACAGAGGGTAAGAAATGGAAAAGTGCTAGTTCAAATTGCATGATTTCCAGTCCCATAGAAAAGCCTCACTAATCAGATTCTAAAAAACTGAATCACATTTTATAAGGATAATTCAAAGATAGACAATTTCTCTAGGATTACACATAAAACAGTTACATTATTATCAATGTCTTAAAAAAGGGTCCGCCCAGTGCCTAGGCGCCCGCCTCGGCGGCCTGGACCAAAATACTGCACGCCCAGACCCAAACAGCCCTACACGGGCAGATGTACCTGGGCGGACGCCTATGCAGGTGCTCAGGCAAGCGACCAGGGACGTTGGCTTTTTTTTTTTTAAGATACCAAAAGGGAAAAGGGTGTAATTTTGACCACCAAAAATGTTTAAATAGGTTATGAGGATTCTTTTCAACCCCTAAAATTAAAAGAACAATTCCATAAAACCTTAATGTCTTTGCTATACCTATTTATGAGAATCAAAAATATTTTTGTGGTTTGAAGAAGCTTCCTAAACTTTTTTCACTTATTATGGAATATGGAAAGTCGGAGACTATTTGTATGGTTTGAATTTTGAAATTTTGAACAGGGTTATTCTCAACTTGTGATATCTCATATGTTTGTATAAAAAATATGTTACAATAATATAATATTTTCAAACGCAATAAATTACAAATTTGATACAAATATATGTATATATTATATGAGTAATGATCTTATGAGACCCTCCCACACCCATGTGTGTAGGACCCCAAAGGATCACCATTAAATTTAGCACAAATCTCTGGAAAAGTCAGGTCCCACACCCATTTATTTGATGATCTGTGCCAAATTTAATGGTGATCCTTTGGGATCCTACACACATGGGTGTGGGAGGGTATCATAGGATCATTATTCATATTATATATATATATATATATAGAACTTGTACTACAGGGCGCCCAAGGTTCTAGGTGCTCGCCAAGGCGTTGGGCGCCAGGCTGGCCGCCTAGAGGCAGCCTAGCGTTTTTTGAAACCTTGATTGTTATATATACTAGAAAGGAAAAAACGAAGCAGAGGATATGTTTGCAATGACCCAAAGCTCAGCATGAACAAGAATTTAAAAATAGGTATAGACTTTATTTTGCTCTGGTAATGATTGATTGAGTTTAGTTTACATCCCAAAATTTCTTCCAAGATTAAGAAAATTTCATGACAACATGTGATGCAGATCAAAATGAGATGGATTTAAAAGGTTGATTTTTATATTAGTAATGAGTCGTTTTTGTTTAGTTGATAAAGTCTTCTTTTTTTTTAAATGTCCATTTTTTTATCTTAGGAAAGTCTTATCTTTTAATTAGGTAGGTGGATAAGTTGGTTATTTTTAGAGTCTTTTTTTAATTTAAAATAATCTTTTTTTTAGGGATACGTCTTTTAATAAGACATTTGTTTTGGTTTAGGAAGGTTTTTAGGAGGTAAAAAGCCTATATGATAAGGATGTGGAGCAAGTTTTAAAGAGTTGTTTTAAAAAGGAATAAGTGGGCGGTCTTTGGATTACGTGGATAAAATTTGTTTCCCTTAGCAAGTTTATCTTTAGTGGATGGGAAAAAGGAAAATTTATACAGCAACAGCATGCTTCCACGATGGAGTAAGAGACAAAAAAGACATGAGAAAACAATTAATTTCCATTCTGTCCACTCACTATTTACCTATTTAGTGCTCCTTGATTCAAACAAGACACTCAAGACTTACCTACCACAGAACCAGTGAGATACATAGCTTACATTCAGAAAAGTAAGAAATTCAGGACCTTCAACTGGTTCAATTTCTAAAATCAGAAAATTAGATCTAAATTTGTCATTCAAAGAAACAAAGTGAATACCAGCTTGTCAAAAAGATATATGAGTTTATCATGCTTATTGGTCACATATCCTTCAAAATTTATCCTGTTAGTGTTTAATTTTGCGTACAAGTAAAAAAATAGTTGTGTATCAAGAATATTGTAAAATGGATAGTTAGACTCTGTCCCAAATCAATCAATGCTTTATCTAATTTATCATTTTAAGAAGAACTATAACTTCAATTCAGTTGTAAGAAAATGAGAAGGGTTATAACTTCAATTCAGTTGTAAAATGGATAGTCAGATTCTGTCCCAAATCAAACAATGCCAGAGACAACCAAATAAAGGAAATATTCACCATCAACCCAGGTCTTTTCTAAAAATGTCCCTCAAACTTGACGAATTGATTAATGGACCACCAGTTATTTCCTTTATTGCCGTTCCCAAGTAGTGCTACAAAGTACTGTGGAATGCCACACAAATATCATAATGAATATCAATAAACATTGTTGTCAAAAGTTATAAATCTGATAAATTTTGAGAATCTTCCAGTCTATAACTATCCACCTTGAGAGCAGCCTTTCATATCCTGCCACACCATCCTTCCATGTAACACCAAAAGGTCCACCATCTTCTTCATTGCTAAATCCCATATAGTATTTTGACATACTGGAAACAGCTATCAGAGCCCATTAAACTTAAATTATGTTTCCAAACACAATGAAATCTCATAGAATTCCCTGAAATATCCAAGTTATCTACCTTTTTATAATAGAGTAGAACCTGTTGAATTTGAATAAAAGCTTCACTACTAGACTTTCCTCATCAAAAATTACACACGACCTTCAAAAATTAATGAACCTTGTTCCCGTATCCTCATATTGTCAATCCTATAAAATTCCTTATGTTGCACAGCCTAGTTTTTCCTACTTAAGTCTTCTGGACCCTGATTTTCACTATCATCATCATCGATATTTCTACTTTCCTCCTGTTAGTGGCTATCCTTCTATCCTCTGGAACTGCGTTAACCAAGTATCAATACTCCCATAAAATCCGTAGTTCTACAATTGAGCTCCCTTACTAATCATAAAAAAGGAGCGCACTTTTCACAAAAATTTAAGATTGTTAAGAAACGTAGCTATCCTGAAGTTCCATATTGCACAAATCATCACTGGGTCGCACTGCATATCAATCTTGTCAAAAGCCTGAATTCTTCAGCAGGACTCTTTACAAAATAACTCATGACCTTCAGTTCAGTCCATGAAATCTGAACACAATGAATGCGACTTTCCCTTGTTCTGATTGGTGTATTGAATGCCACTTTCAAGCAAATAAAATCCTTCAAACCCAGCACTAGAGCTGGAAGTGATGGCATTAACCAATACCCTAAAACACTGAGTTTTGGAAAATAATGAAAAAATAAAAACAAAATCTACCCTAAATCATGGGCCTGGAGACGTTCCTTCATGGAAGTTAGTTATCTAAAACCATATTCTTCCACTGAAACTTTTCAAAGTTCGAGCCATTTGTAAACAAAATGGAGATAGGGACTTCCAGTGAGTGTTAATTCTGCATCATAGAAATAAGGTCACTGCTCATTACAAATTCAAAGATTTCATGCATATGAAAGGAGATGATGCCTAACCAGTTTACGGTTAGCTCAGCTCAATTAAGTCAGATCTAAATTACCACTTGTTTGAAATAAATAAAACTTTTAAAAAGCATTGAGCATACAACTCATGTTAGTCAGAGATATTTGGTCCACAATAAGAAATGATATATAAACCCTAAAAGAAGGGCATGATATCACAAATTTAAGGGGATACAAATCAATAGGGGAGACAAACCAATAAAGGCATCAGAATAACATCCTGAAAGACGAATTGCAAGGATTAGTCCACATGCAAATCAATCATACTCATAACCTATCAAAGACCAAAGGGGCGATAAACAACAAAGAAAGGTGTACCAGAAGAGAACGATAAGATGAAAGAGAAAAAATCAATTCGGAATAACAAAAATAAGATCCTTAAAAGAGATCAAAACAATAAAATGAAATTCAACATGAATATTAAACAATAATCCAACAGAAACCAAACAAAAAATAAAGGTGCATCAAACAGAGATGACATCAAACCCTCTCGACAGATCAAATTTTGATTCAGAAATCCTACAGAAATGTCAGAGAGAGAGAAATAGATCCTTGTGTTCAAATTTTGATTGAGAAATCCTACATAAATGTCAGAGAGAGATCCTTGTGTTTACCAGAGAGATAGGAGATATACAGAGAGAGAGTAAAATTGATAAATGTCAGAGAGAGATCCTTGTGTTTACCAGAGAGATAGGAGTTATACAGAGAGAGAGTAGAATTGAGAGAGAAATAGGACATCTTAGAGAGAGAAATAGAGAAGCTAGAGAGAGAGGACTCACAAACTTCAAGATCGCTGCTTAAGAATTCGTTGTCAACACCACCAAGGCAATTAAACATGGAAGAGTTCCACTGCTCCCTAACCCTAACAAAAGCCACACCTTCAACCACCTCCTCTCTCTCCTCTTTCTTCTTATGCTCTGAAACAGACTCTTCTTTCTTCTCAGATTTCGCGTCCTCCTTCAAAACCCCATCGTTAGCTTTTGCTTCATCTCTTTCTCTATCTTCTCCGTCGTTTCTGGCCCAGAGCGAACACTTCTCTCCTTCTTCTTCTTGTACCTTGGATCTCTTCATGCCCGCCCCTACCATCTTCCTCTGCAATTCTTCTTTCCTCTCCTGCCTCACTACGACAAAACCAGGGGATTAAAAAGCGGATGGTTTAAAAATCGGATCGGTGCAAAGGATCGTGCACCCAAAAGAGACACCGAGGCGAGTGAATCGGCAATTCGATTCAGGAATCCATCGCCTTCAAAAAAAAAAAATCTAAACAATTATTAAAATTTATTATAAATATTATTCTTATAAATTCCATAAAAAATGAGGGTCTTTCATTAACAACTTTTATTTTTAATCATTAAATTTATATTATATAAAAAAAACTTCGAATTATCATGGATAAAATATATCATCATACATAGACTATAATAAAACATACAATTCGTAAAATATGACCTAATAATAAAATGAAAGACGACGTCGTTCTTCATCTTAATCACACTGGTGTCATTGATTGAATTCATGTGACAATTCATTAACTCGATCTAAAAACGAATCATCCAAATTAGTGGACACTTGACTATTCCCAAATCTCTAAGTATTAGAATTTTGTTGCGCTCCTAATCCAAAATCCTCAAAGCTTGTCCATCTTTCATGCTCACATATATTGTCGTACTCGTCCTTACCCTCTTACTGTTAGGGCTCTGTATGTGAATAATTTGGTTGGGATAGGGTGGTGGCATAATCATCATCTTTCTCATTTTTCCTTATACCCCCTTCTAACTCTCCATCATTAAGTGCAACACCACCGATATCTCCGACGAATTGTGCCGATTTTGGCAGGCAACTTCCTCTTTCATATTGTTCATCACCTTTTTCACGTCTTCTTCACCGATAGCCTCAAGGAATGGTCTCTTGTGCAACACTAGCTACTATTCCTCTACTACCTATTGTTTTGTTGTGCAACACTACCGATATCTCCGACGAATTGTGGCGATTTTGGCAGGCAACTTCCTCTTTTATATTGTTCATCACATTTTTCACGATCTTCTTCACCGATAGCCTCAAGGAATGGTCTCCTGTGCAACACTGGCTACTATTTCTCTACTACCTATTGTTCTGTTGTGTCTGTGAGAAATATTGGGTAAAAGTATATCGGCCTATAGTCTTCAAGCTTCCTTCTTATTTTTTTGCTCTCGGAGGTCTAAGTTATAATGAACGTAGACTACCTTATGAAGCCTCTTCGAAGCGAGTCGATTCCTTCTAGCAGTGTGCAACCATTGGAACATGCTCCAATTTCGCTAACACCTAATAGTAGAACATGTATGAGAGAGCATCTTGATTGTTATCCTCCTTATGTGAGGTGCATCAATATCATATATCTTCCACCATTTAGCTGGATTAAAATGCAAAAGCATTATAAGGGCAAGAACAATTCATAAGATTAGAGATATAAAATAATAAAATATTAGTTAAGGGTTAACCTGAATCTATCATAGTTTGAGAATTCCTAGCAAGTCTAGTTTCGAATGATCCTACAGCATCCATACACATAGAAAGCTACAAAAATATATTTCGTTTTAATGCATTTGTTATTCTTCACAAATATAACAACTCAATGAAGCTCTTATCCAAATGTTAAATCTTACCTCCTGTATTACCTCTACTTGGTTTCGATGGCTTCTCTCCAGCCTAACAATAATGTATCTGATACCTTCTACAATCTTGTTTGGATGTTCAAGTGTCAAATAGAAAATTTTTGGGCTGAAGTAGTAATTTAGAAAATACATAAATAATTAAAGGTCATTTAAATGCACATTAAAAATATTTTTTGAAATTGAACACTCTAAGGAAACAAATATATATGTACCTACATAATGAATTGGGCAGCCCAATTTGGTATCCCATCTTCTTTCTATAATCTCGATCATTTTAATAGCAAAACTACATTTCTCCCCAATTGCTGATTTGGCCCTCTTGATACCTTCGTAAAGAATACCCATAGTAGCTTTTTTGTCAGCATCCATCATTCTTAACACAGTGACCAAAGGGGCAGTGGCCTCTACGACACTGGAACACTGAGACTAGAACCTCCTATCTATGACTATGCCTTCCACTTTTAGGTCATTTCTAGACTTCAAGAGGGGGTCTTTTGACCACTCTTTGCTGGTAAACAATTTCTTCAATGCAGCTTGGGATTCCCGAATGGAGTCCACAACCAAGTAATTTGGGTTAAAGGGGGTTATAACAGAGGCCTGATTATCACTTTTTTCTCAGATTGTTCTCTAAATAAAATAAAATTTTAGAGTGGTTACATATAAATCTTGACACGAACCTCGCTGCCTCTAGAGTCTCATTCACAATTTTGATATCATTGATCTTCTCTAACATAAGATCGATGTTGTGTATAGCACGCGAGGTTTATACTAGGTGCTTCTTCTTATCTATCAACTTGCTGCCTGTAGAAACACAAGCACCTACATTGTCCGTAATAAACTGGACCACATGGTTATCTGCCACCTCCTCCACTATTTGGTCATATAGTCGTACCAATAAGTTTGCATCATTTTTTTTCCCTGAGACGTCTTTGCTAGACAAAAAGGTTGTACCTATTGGGGAATAAGCTAAGACATTAAGATAATCTTTTTTCCTAACTTTATTCAACCAACAATCACTCATGAGAGTAATGCATGTTCTTGGGCAACCCTGTTTATATTATTCAATTAACTCCTAACTTCATCCACCTCTTCATTCAAGATCGGCCCACTGAGCTCATATGCAGTCGGGGGTTTTCCCCAGGCGCGAATCTCTGGATTATGTTGACCATAGGCCGAAAATATGGGCTATTGACTGTATCAAAGTGGATTCATTTATCATAGAACTATTTACCAACATATCTGCCCAACATGTTACTTGCACCTTTCACCATGGGCTATTGGTTGCATCAAAAGAGATCCCTTTAACGTAGAACTATTTACCAACATATCTGCCCAACATGTTCCTTGTACCTTTCACCATGCCTTTGTAGGTCATATGTTGTGACTTGAGCTTTGAGAGAAATTGGTATATGTGACTATGACCTGTAATACTGGTGCTTCTAGATAAGTCAAGAACAATTTCCTCAACATCCAGTGCCTCTGGATACATATTGCCACCAACCCTTCCATACATATTCGAGTTGGGCCCCCCATATATGCTCGAGCTGAGGTCGTCATGCATGCTCAAGCTGAGGCTGCCATGCGTGCTCGAGCTGGGCCCACCATCCATGCTTGAGTTGGGCCTACCATGCATGCCCATGCCATAACCACCAAGCAATCCGAACCCGCTTTCTCTCTGGTATATTTCGTGCAAGCTCATTCTTGTGGCCATCTCCAAGTCATGATTATATTGCTTTTGTGGATCCATCCTGCTCGATGACGTATATAAGCCAACTATCTCCTCATTCATCTTCTACTTTGCGACTTTTTTTACCCTTGGTAGCCTTGAGAATGGCAGTCATTTGTTTTCTTACATTGCTAGGGACACTATTGCACACAGAAACATCTTTCTTAACCCCAGCCACATGTTGCTTGAACCTAAATACCTTACTACTAATCACTTTTTAGCAGTAATTATAAATAAGTTTATCTTTTTTGTTGGGATCAAGTCTGACCCTATGTTGCCATGCAGGCCCTTTGTTAGAATTTGTCATGGTTCAACTGTTTTAAGATGTAAATGGTTAAAATAAACTTGACAATTCAACATGAAAAATAATCAATAGTGATAATGTGTAGGGGTAGTTCATGAAGTTATCATTGTTGTTAATGCAAAATACTTCTACTGACAAAAATATTTTAGTTCCTACTGGCAAAATATTTTATTTATGCAATTTTATAGATAAAAATAGTCGATATCAGCCAAAACTAGAATCAAGAAAAAAAATATTTATAATAATACAATATCAATAAAAAAAATATTTACAATGATATAGTCATTTATAATGCCACCAAATTGCCACATATCTTATTCTTGACAATAAAATTAAAAAATACAATTTTTTATTGCATGATAATTATACATTCATGACATACTTAATTATGTATCAATCAAAATTTAATTATATATCTAGATTCAAGAACATACATTTTAGTGCATTAATAAAATTGAACATACATTTTAGTGCATTAATAAAATTGATAATGAAATTTAAAAATACATATACATACCTAAAATTTCGAAGCGATTTCATTTATACAACTTTATAGATAAAAATAGTCTATATCAGCCAAACCTAAAATCAATAAAAAAAAATTACAATAATATAATATCAATAAAAAAAATTATTTACAATGATATAGTCATTCATAATGCCACTACATGTAGCCTCACCACATATCTTCTTTTTTACGATAAAATTTAAAAATATAAGTTTTTATTATATGATAATTATACATTCATGACATACTTAATTATGTATCAATCAAAATTGAATATATATCTAGATTCAAGAACATACATTTTAGTGCATTAATAAAATTGACAAAAAACTTAAAAAATACATATGCATACCTAAAAATTCAAAGCTATTTTATTTATGCAACATTATAGATAAAAATAGTCTGTATCAGCAAAACCTAGAATCGAGAAGAAAAAAAATTACAATGATATAGTATCAATAAAAATTTTATTTACAATGATACAATCATTCATAATGCCAATATATCTTGACAATAAAATTAAAAAATACAAGTTTTTTATTTTGTTTCAATCAAAATTTTAAAAATACAAGTTTTTAATTTTTGCTTCATTCAAAAGAGTAATGATCTTGTAGGATCCTCCCCCACCCATGTGTGTAGGACCCCAAAGGATCACCATTAAAGTTGGCATAGATTTCTAGAAAAGTTATCACATGGGTGTGGAACTTGACTTTTTTATATATCCTTGCCAAATTTAATGGTGATTCTTTGGTGTCCTACACACAAGGGTGGGGGAGGGTCCTATAGGATCATTTCTCCATTCGAAATGCATGATAATTATACATTCATGACATACATAATTATGTATCAATCAAAATGATTTTAGTGCATTAATAAAATTGACAATAAAATTTTAAAATACATATGCATACCTAAAAATTCAAGCAACTTTCGATTTATTGCAAATTCGAGTAACTAGTGTTGCTTAATCTCAATAAACGCCTGCAATAGCTTATGAAGATCATGATTACGAGCAAAACCCTTTTGCTTTCA